TAAGCCTACAAAATGGGACATGTGTCGCCTTTTAAGGGCATAACACTTCTTTATATAGATATAAAAGAGATATATGAAAAATGCAGAAAGTAATGTTTTCCTTTTATAAATAGAGACCTTTCAAGCTTTAATGTATTGCCCCTATTACTGAAGAAAGTGATTCAGTCACGATGCGCTATGTGACAATTCTCGACAAATATCCAATTTTGGTCCTCTAAGTTTGTCATTGTCCATTTTTGGTACACCAACTTTCCACTCATCAATAATAGTATGTTATGTTGCAATTTGTCTTTTTGGAACAGTACTCATCAAAAATAGTTTGTTATGTTGCAATATGTATTATTTTTAGTACATTAATCCTAAAAAAAAAATCAACTATTCTTGGGATAATGTCCTAAAAGTGATATAAAAATGTACTATGTTTTATGAGAGAAAAAGTTGATGTACCAAAAATGAACAATAACCAACTTAGAAGACCAAAATTGGATTTTTGCCGACAATTCTCTATGTCACTACTTTAAGCGATAATAGCCGTACATGAGTATGACAACTGATCGAATAATCAAAACAAAATGTTCGGTATAAGGATACTTTCAATAGTATATAATTTACACACTTTTCAATAAATTTATATGAACAAAATGACAATTATGACAAACTTTATTCATGATACATAAATATTTAATTTTAACAGTCCATCTTAATATTGTTTCGCCATGCATAATATTCGTGCATCGCTTGCACGTGATATGCACTAGTCATTATCGTATGGATTGGGTGCAAATCCCCAAAAATAGTAAACTTAATTATTTTTTTGCAATACGAGATGCCAAAACCACGAACAACAATAAACCCACTTTTTTTCTCACGCAGCGGCGTCGATCTTCACGCAGTCCAAGTTGCTTTTCCCTCCAAATTGTTTGCTTGGCTTGGTTTCAAGGTACTCGATAAACTTCATCGGGCGATATAATGCCCGGCCATCACGCTCGACAAGTGGGCCAGCAGGGCCCACAATAGTTTCCGGGGCTGACGCATTCGTGATGATCACTGATATTCTCGTCGTTTGATTGTTCACCAGGGCCCTGTGATTCACACTCTTGTACCTCCCATTGCTAAAAATCTAAAAAAAAAAAGGAAAGACAATTAGATTAAAAACCATGAATAACTTTTTTTTTTTTTTATGAAAATAATGTCTTTTTTTTAACTTCAAGATGATCGGCCGTGTGGACCCAGATCGAGCCGTGAGGCGAGTTTGCCTCGAACCATTCCCCATTGTGCTGAATCTGAAGGCCAGCAACCCCATTATGTATGAGGAAGGTCAAGAGGCCATGGTCCGAGTGTGGCATGATCCCGATGGCGTGGTCGGGCTCGGGGCAAGGCGGGTAATAATTTGCCGAGTATTGTTGAAAAGACGAGTCCAACTGCAAAGCCCGGTCTATGTAGCCCTGTTCCAGTTCCAGGTTTTCTCCTATCCCCTGAAGCAATGTTCTTGCCACGTGACGGGTTTTTTCGGAGTACTCCAACAGGATGTCCCTACAATGTAGCAGCAAAGCAAAGCAAAGCAAAGCAAAGCAATTCACATCATGATGATTTTGAAGTCCGCAGACTTCTTTCGAGCCAAGATTGAATTATTGAATTCGATTTATGCATGCACAACATTTTTTGTTACCCAAGGATGGGAGGATTTTCAGGACAGTGAAAATGTGGGCTGACGTAGGTTTTAAGGAAGTCCCGCCAGTGACGAATTCTATGGTTGGAGGTGGTGGTGAGAGCGCCGGAGCCGCACTTGATGGGGTCCGACGGGCTCTTGTGCTTGTACACTTTCTTTTCGTGGTCCGGCAGATTGAAAAACTCCAAACTCGCCTCTATTACGCCTTTCGTAACTCTCTCTGGTATCCCATGATTTATCAACTAAAACATAAATAAAAAACTAGAATTAAAAAATAGCAATTTAGCCAACCAAAGGAAAGAAATAGAGGAGAAAATAAAGTTACTTCTATATATATATATGGTTTACCACAAAGAAGCCCCCTTCTTGACAGGCATGAGCGAGGTCCTTGAGGGCTTTGGACCGTAGATCGGAGTCTGGAGAGGTGAGGTGGGAGAAATCGAGGGTGGGGATGGAGTTGGAGTAATTAGAGCCTTTGGAGTACTCGTTCTCGAAAGTGAATTGTGAAGGGACTGATTTAAGACCGCCAGATTCTGCAACAACTTTCACGAATGAATCAGTTGCTGATGATGGTTCGTGTTCACGGACTTGAGAAGCCATTTTCTCTATTATTGTTATTATTATTATTATTATTATATCTTCAATTGTGTGTGGTTAGGAAAATAGAGGAAAACAGATCAGTTTATATATACATGTATGTGTAACAGTGAGTTCCACATCTACATTACATTTGCAAATCTAAACCCATCGTAAACCTCTTAGTGTGGTGGCTCCACATCTACAATCAATCTCTCAACTCTCTTGGCGTTTCCTTATTTTTTTTTTTTCATTTATTTAATCCATGTGGCGCGCGGACTTTCTTTAGGATTATTTTATTTTATATTACTACTCGTCGCCCCCTTGAACCATTTTGTGTTGGATCCTTAATTCAATATTGGGGTAATATGTGAAATAATTATTGTATTGTGGTTGTCAAATAAAGAGACCAAATAAAAGTGATCAATTAAGTTTTAAAGTTATTGGGTTTTTAAAGTATCAAATGGGTGTGAGCTTTTAATGTGTAGAAACTAATGGGTCTCTATTTTAATGATGAGCTAAAATAGAGATGCCCCATGTAACTTAATGTACATAAAAGGGTCGTGGTCCCTAGGTCATACGTCATCGACAGATTATTCTTCTGCATCCACCGACAGAGAGGTTACATAGAAAAGCTAAAGGGTTCTCTGAAAAGTACACGAATGTATAGATCTAGAAGGCCAAATCCCCAAATCAATCACCTATGGATTCAGGTACGCTGCCGCTATTTAGTTTCGATTCTCAATTATTCGATATGAAAGCTCCTGGATTAAAGCAATGTCTTTCGCCTAAAGTTAGTTCTACAAATGGTATCACAGCCACTTCATATTGGATTTTAGGGAATCAGTTTATTTTTTGATTCGTATGTAATATATTTTTGCGAGATTGATTGCTGTTCGGATTTGTGAACCGTGCATATTGGATTCAGTTTTTTTTTTTTAAAGGCGTATGTTTATATGAAATTTGTGGACCCAAATTCAATTAAACTTTCCTGCCACACCATGGATGAGAATTTATATGCTTGTTTTTTGATAGTGCAAAATTGATTATTTTGGTTTATCTTGCATTCGGGTGATTGCGCGAAATCAAGAAGAGCAATTTTGTGGATCTCGAATATCGTTTTGATTGGATATTGTTCACAGCATGACCATGATTTATTTGCTCAGAATATGAGTTGCGTAATTTTGTTTCATGGTTCAATTAATTGTTTGAATTCTTCAGCCTTCAGGCCCCAATAAATAATATTAATTGGTGGTTAAACATGATTTATTTCATGGATTAAGAATTGCTTCTGCCTGAATTAGTTTTCGGGAATTAAATTAAGTCTATTTTTCGGTCTTAGAATTTTAAATTTTGGATTCGAATATTGGTATAAAGTTTTATATATTTTGAGATAGATTAAT